GAAAAAAAATATATATATGAATATTAGAAATCAAAAAGGGTGCCACTTACTACTTGGTTTCCAAACCGTCTTTACTTCCCTTTTTTTTATAGAATATGATGATATGTGTGATGTTGTGGTGTTTGTAGTAGTTCTGGTGATGTTGCCTCGCTGTGTTGTTTGCGGTGATTGTGGCAAGTTCCTGTGTCGTGGTGTCTTCCTTGTTGATGTCTTTTTGTTGTGATGTGTTAAAAATGTGTTGTTCACTTTTTTTCACTTTTGCTTATACGTGCAAACGTATGGATCTATTTTTTAATATATCTATGTATATATTTATGTAAATATTTTTCTGTTTTTTTTTTTGTTTTGTGTTTAACACTTTGGTTTTCCACTAATTTTCTTTTAAATTCTTTTTTTTTTTTTGCAGTTAAATTTTTGCACGATAAATTTCTCTAAAAATCCTTTTTTTTCGTATGCGACTTGTCAGAATTTTTAGAACTCAACACTTATTTATGTGTATGTATATGCACTGAATTTTTTGTAAGTATTTTTTTTTTTGGTAATATTTTTATTTTTGAAATATTTTAAAAACTTCCTTGCACCACCAGCTTTTTGTTTTTTGTTATTTTATTTAATTTTTTTCCTTTTTTTTTCTTTTTTTTTTATCACAGTTTTCTCAACTTCACTTTTTATGCGGCGGTACGTAGATTTTTTATTTATGTTTTAATAATAGTGGCTGTTCACCAAAGATTGGCTCTAGTTTAGCCTCGAAGGACCATGTTCAAGTCCACAAGGACTTGAGGGTAATTAAGGGGATGCCGGCTGTCGAGCGGGCCCACAGTGGAAATAAAAAGGCACTTTTTTCACTTTAAAAATTGTTTCTCAAAGTATTTTAATGAAAAATTCACCTTAATGTTACTTCACAAATTATTCACTTATAACTAATAACTTCGTATAATAACTTATTCAAATAACAGTGTCCGCGGTTCAAAGGCTGCCGTGCGCGAGCGAGGGTTGTTAGATTTAGAGTGGTTTTTCGTTAGCTCGAACGGCCGCCGCTAAGCGGTCGATCGGCTAACGAAATTTGGCCAAAAAGGATAGAGGAATTGGCGCGTGATGGGGCACACGGAAATAGTGGGAAAAGACGGGCAATTCCACGCGCACGACAGTTACATTTATTTTTTTTTTTTTTTATTTACGGTGGTTTAAACATATAAGTAGACGCTTAAACAGTTTTATTTAACACACGAATTTCACTAACATAGCGTTCATGCGATATGCGATATGCTGAACAGTCTCTTGGCTCAATTTCACCATGTCCACTATTTTACCATCTTTGTAATGTTTGAGAATTAACTCGTGCACTTCAATACCTGTTTGGCGATCCATTTTGATCTACACTCAACCGATGTCAATACTATAATGTCATATTACACCAAGTTTGCTCGCGAATCGTCAACAAGGTGCCGCCACTATCGGTAAATCTGTGTGTATCATTTTCGCTGTGAGGTACAATTTTATACTGAAGTTTGTTTTTGTTGTGAATTATATAACATATAAAATTTTTAAAGCATGAGCGAAATGTGTATATCTGCGGCTATTAACTGGGATTTATGCTTTTTGGGAAATTTATTTAAATTTTAGATAAATTTTTTTACACTATTTCTTACTTTTCTGCATCACTTTGGCTGTGAGCCACTGTATGTATATATGCCTTGTCTTTTTGCGCGCATATTCAAATGATTATATGCAATTCAGTTGGCTCATTTTTGTTTGGTATGAAATTTCGTTTCGCCGTCATACGTGTAATTGCTCCGCCGCGCTACGAAAATCGCGAGAAAATTGAAGAAAGATGTATTCCGGCTGTGGGACGCCACTATTCACCTCAACAAAATTTTTCACATTGGTTCACATTTCTTTTGCCTTCTTATTAATAAACGTTCTTTGGCGGTATGTTCAGTGAACCTAGGGTGAACTACGTTTGTCAGTGATATTTGCGGGCAAATATGCCTTTTGACTATCTGGTAGCTTATTAAACCTTGAAATTATTATCGCACTTTTAACCCTTTTTTGGCACGCAGGCGGATTGCTATTTTATATTAACAACTGTAATAACTAAACAGTTCTCCTTAATGCTATGGGTGTTTATGTATATACAATTGGCGCTTTGTAACCGCTAAATCGATTTTCCGCCGAGCTCCTCCTCCTTTTTGTGGTTTTGTATCTTGGTGTTTTTCCAACAAATGGAGGGACTTACAGTTTATACTAAGCCGCCTACCAACCGCTGATGGTTTTCTATGAGGAGCTTTATCTCATGTCAGAAATACAATCGGAGGGGTTGACATTCCCTGCCGAGGAGCGGCCACAATTAGAAAATTTAACTTAATTTTTTATTTAAATTAATTTTCTATAACTTATAAAGGTTGGTCGCACGGGGACATTAACCCGAGCCTTCCGAATGACAGTACACGACTCTAACCACATGTATGTATATACGTGTTCATAAAAATTCATATTTAGGCAGGTTTGGCTTGGAGAAAGCTATGCGAATATGCATAAAGTAAAATTCATGAAATGGTTTATCGTGTTATTGTAAGGGCTCCAACATCTAGGATTTTGGGATTCTTTCAGAGTAAAAATATTATTACGCACTGGCTTCTTCGTTCAGTGATTGCGATTGGCAAAGTTCATGACATTTCCGGAACATTCAGATTGATCCACTTTATCCAGCGAAAGAACGCTCGCAGGGTTCAAGAAGACGAATACAGCAGATGGCTGGAAAATTGAGGAGATCTTCTGCCTAATTCATTGCGTTGAAGGGATCGATAGGTTTCCCGATTAGGAGATAGGTAATTTGACGCTTTAATGTGAACCGTAGGAATACCTTATGGTAGTGAGCATACAGGCTAATATAACAGATGAATCTGGATAATCGTAATCAGGAGCCAAACCAGACACTGATGGAATTTACTATGGAGATTGATCAAATGGCTCACTTGGATTATCGAGAAAGCTTTGGAGAATTCCTCGAAATAGAGAAAATCCAAAGGTTCATCGGCGGAATAATGGGCATATGTTTCGATAGTCAAGAAGAAGAGTGTAAGGAGCAAACGGCAAAACAAAACCAGCCGAAAAAGTAAAGGGCTAGTTGAGCTTTTTAACGAAATGTAGGCATGCGTTGCCATATGTTTCCGTATTAAACATTCCGCCCGCCATGTATTCAATTACAATTTTTAGTTAAATACAATGCATTTTGCTTAAGTTTATTATTTTATTTGCTTTTGTATTGTACTTAACCTATTTGCAATATTAAATATTAAACAAAACTAATTCCAATAGATAGAGCCTGCATTGTTAACTCGAGGCGTAAGTTCGCACATTCAAACGTCTCCATGTCGAGTCTAGCTCAGCGCTGCAAGTGTGGCAAGCGCAGGAGGCGTCACAGCGCGGGCTTCGGAGCTGCTGAGTTTTTTGCAGGAGGTCGGTAGGGATGGGCAAGCGTCGTAGCCGTCTCTGTAGATGATGGTGTTGTATTCTCGCTGCTTTTTGCATTGTGCTTTCTTCGAGTTCTGCCATTGGGCTTTCTTCTTTTTTTACCTGCTGAGCCCATGTGACCTCGACGACGTTATGTCCGACTCTTCATATATGACGAGGCACTTACCGTGCAAAATAGTGTGGTGTTTTCTCCGCACCTCTTACAGTGAATAAGACCAAAGCAGTTTACTTTACTTTCACTCGACAGTTTTAGACGTTTTTAAAAGCTCTCCGGTAAAGGATCCATCGGATCCCAAATCATAAACGCCCTCGCTGTAACTGTGCTATTATTGTTTCAAATCGTTACCACAGCAGTTTCTAACAGCATACTTTGCTTTGCGAAAATACTGCTTGTTACATTTGCCTTGATCGATGCCGTATGTCTTTTAGTTGAACTTTGTTGGTTCTTGGAAGTGGTTGGTTCCCCTTCATCTTGCTCTCCATGAAGATTGTGTGATGCTGTTTTTTGCATTTAGAGCATATGTTATTGCCCTTATAAATTTTCAATTCATGAGCACCAGATAAGAAATTGAAGCAAAGATGAAGTTTTCTTACACCATCAATTCGCGCATCATGACTTATATCGAGGAATTTCGGTCAGGTCTCAAGAATGTGTGTTTGTGCCGAGCAAAATTTACTTTTCATTCTATTCGGTTTGGAACGGTGTGTATTTACAGGTCTGGATGAGTAATTATTTTGCGATTTGTCTGTTCGACTGTTCGAACTACCACTCGGTTTCTGATCAGGTTTACATAGACACTTCTTAAACTACCACCGTGTGCACCTTGCTTTTTTATCCAGCCCGTAACTTAAGCCAATGCCGAGGTTAAACGATAAAGAGCAACTTTAAGAATGTACACACTCACAGGCCATATAATAAAAACTATGTGCACGCTAGCAGACTGACATAACAAAAGTAACAAAAAGAATTTGCTGACAAAAAAATGGTATTAAGTCACGTTAAGTAAAAAATGTCTTACTTGCTTGTTTTAAATGCGTGTAGTTAACTTTATCAACAAAAAATCTTAGCTGATACACAAGCATATAATGTTAGCCTAATAAATTAAATCATGGACCCACAAAAAGGTTAAGTGTTCAGTATAAATAACGGGAAAAGCAAAAAATAGTGTACAACAATTATAGCGCACATAGCATAAGCAAACGAGAAAAACAATGTAGGTGGAGTATAAGAGAGAAGTGTGAAGTTTAAGCTGAACAAACAAAATATGTCTGAATTTCTTGAATTTAATTTTATATACGTGGAAAATTTTAGCATAGGTATTAAAAAACAAATACGAATATATATATATATATATATACATGAATATGTGTGTAAATATATTATACAATATACCAATATATATAACAGAACTTAAACCTGGAATATAGAGTAATGCATATTTAATTGAAAAAAAGTAATATTGTCATTTAAAGAAAATTCAGATGAATGTATTCACAGCATTACAGAGGCGGGGTGAAGGGCTTCCCGCGTTGCTGTAAAGATTATCTGCGGGTTGTATTCCGCTAGATTTGGGTTAATTTAATTATTTTTATATTTATTTTGTCGAAATATAACACCGTTAAATTATTCACTTCCTTTACACTATACCATCTTTATTTTCCATTAAATATTCTCGATGTTTAAAACACTGAATTCCTTTTCTTTGTATTGTTCCTTTTCTATTATAATCCACGAACAATCGCTTAATTAGGACTAATATATACTATATATATATATAAATATTATATTAAGTAAATTATTGAAAACTAACTTTTATTTTTTTTCATTCGACTTGCAAGCCTGTAATCTTTTATTTAAACTAAAAAAAGGTACTTACATACTCGTATATTTAAATATGTACATTTATGTAGAACTGCGAATATAAGAAAAACAAAAAAGAAAGATAAATATTGCTGCTGTTTCTTATAGTGTGATAATTATAATAAAATAATAAATTATTCAAAAATGTTTCGTTAAAAAATATAACAGATTAATAGGAATTTATTCTGAAAATTTTTCTGGCTGCGGCCAACTATATAATGTTCTGGTATGCTGCTTAGCGGTTCGCCGCTCACAAAGCGATTCCTACTATACTGCTGCTTCTCTTTTCGTTATTGTTTTTTTATCGATGTATTTACACTTGTGAAAATTTAGTTAATATATGTAAATATGCCAGCTTCTAATATATAATAAATATATTTTGCCTTTTTTCGTTAAGGGTAGTTAAGGCAAAGTAAGATGTAGGAAGATGCAAAATCTTTGAGTATAACGGTACTTTATTT